GATTGGGCAAAGTCACCATGACTTTGCCCAATCATGGCTCTTACAGTTATCTGTGCCCTGATTGGGCAAAGTCTTGCACCTGGTGGAAGCCTTCAGCCAATTAGGGCTTCACAAGGCGCATTGACTTGTGGGGCGTTCATCGGGCGAATAGCCCGCCGAACGCCCCAATAGGTCGTGTGTTCGGCGAACACACAAACTAGCGATGTTCGAATCGAACTCACGTTCGGCTTGAACATCAAGCCCAACTCTGCCGTCTGACACGCCTCCCACCCGCAGTGCAATCGCCGGCACCAAAACGTGTGGTACAGCTATGCCCTTTTTTCCAGTGCAGTGAGAATGCAAAAAATAGTGCATGCATGATTTTTTGTGATCACACCGCTCTAGAACGCAGGACATTGCTGTACCATGCGTTCTGGTGTGGGTGATCGCACTGCGGGCGGGAGGCATGTTGTCACATTTCAGCTGCAGACTTGCAGCTGAGCTGTTACTTGTAGTTCTACAAGTATATACATATCTCTTACCCCTGGTTCTGCAGGCATGCAGGGCTGTGCTGATGCTTGTAGTCCTCCAGACATGTGCTCTGAACCTGACTCACTCTTGCACCTGTCTGCAAGCTTTAGGCGTCGGCCGACCTCTCCTGCTGTTTCTTATGCAGTTTCTCGGCCAATCAGTGCAGTCTGCTTGTGGCCAATCCTGTGGATCCTCCCTCTTCATGTCTCTATTTAAACTCAGGGCAGTGAACAGCACGGGGCCTGAGCAATGCTTTCCTTAGCTAGTTGCCGAGTCCCCCATTTGTGATTTACCCTGAATTCCTGGAAGTTTTCCCGTGTATCGAACCTTTGGCTTGTCCTTGGAAATCCCTGCCTACAGGCTGCCCTGTCCTTCACGTTTGTCCTTGGAAATCCCTGCCTACAGGCTGCCCTGTCCTTCACGTTTGTCCTTGGAAATCCCTGCCTACAGGCTGCCCTGTCCTTCACGTTTGTCCTTGGAAATCCCTGCCTACAGGCTGCCCTGTCCTTCACGTTTGTCCTTGGAAATCCCTGCCTACAGGCTGCCCTGTCCTTCACGTTTGTCCTTGGAAATCCCTGTCTACAGGCTGCCCTGTGCCTCCCTTTTGTCCTTGGAAATCCCTGCCTACAGTCTACGCTGTGCTTCTCTTTGTCCCTGGAAGTCTTCATCCTGTCACTAACCTTTGATTTGTACCCTGCACCTGTTAGGTGAGTTGGGTGGACCTAGGGATTGTGACCTGGGGTCAGCACGCAGCCAAGCCCATCTCCACCATCAGGAGCTCTGGCGAATACCGGCTGGCTCTTAGATTCCACATCCTGGGGAACCCCTGCCACCTACTCCGCAGCTCTAGGAGTCGTCAGCCTACACTGCTTGGACCCTTTTCTCTGAGTGTCCCTGCCAGTGTAGTGGAAAGGGTCCACATACCTGACTCCAGTTCATACCTGTGAGTCCCAATCCATGACACATGTCAGCGGTGCCATTGACATGAATGGCACACCACACCCCCTCCCGCTACTGGGAGCCTTTGTTTATGCGATCCGTTGCGTTTATATGGTCTTTTAGGATACATTTGCATGTAGCCAGTTGGATCCTGAAAGGGCTGATACAAGATAACTTGAATTTATCTGCATAGTAAAAACAATTACTGTCACAGTCCACAAATTATTAAAACATACAGTAATTGTGCCTGAATCATGAAAATCATTGATTCATTTGTTTTTAATTATCCTGAATATTTACATTTAAATCTGCCTAATCTGCAGATATTCGTACAATTTAGAAACCCAGGCAATTGAAATTTATCAATATAGCATTACCACAAATAATGAAGTTGTAAGGATACTGCCTAGGGGTCTCTAGGAAAATATTTAACTTTAAATGATACATTCATACGGGTCAAAAAAAGCAAAGAAAAATAAAAGCTTAGAAGATGTAAAAGAAAAAAGAAAATACCTGTAAATTCATGTTGGCCGTAACTGTTTTCCTTTAAGCTAATACGCAAAGAACGAATGCATCTATTAAAACAACAATAAGCATGGAATAGAATTTAATGATACATAATCTTTAATGGCTTTAAATCTAAAAAAAAAGTTAAGGAGATCATTATGAATGCATTAGGTGTTAGCACTTTTAAGAAAAACTGATATAAAGAAAAACTGATATAAAGTTACCCTAAGTACCACAGTCACATTTCATATAATGAGGCTTGCTATAGAAGCCGTTAATACTAATATTGATCTTGTTTAGGATAATATATTGGGTTATTACATTTGAATAATAACAATAATAGGGAATTACCTATTTTCCCCTCATTTCTATTTTATAATCACTGCCAAACTGCCAAGAAATACAAAGTCTAAATGGAGTCTAAGTATTAGCCTTAATATTGATGGTAATGTAACAAATGCAATTTACACAACAGAGTAAGCTATTAGATGATCCTTATGTAGTATTGATCCTATTTCCCATTACACATTGCCATTTGTTTGAAAAATTGTCATTTTCATCAATTATCCTTACACCTGTTCAAATTCTAGTGTCTGGACTAATGTATGAGGCAGATTTTTTTTTTTTTCATATACCCTGATGAGAAAACCTCTCGTAAGATAATCTTATTTTTTTGTTGTTCTTAGTAAAAGCCAAACATGGCATTCAGTGGTTTACAGCCCTCATATCGGAACATTATTATAATGAAAAAATAAATAACATATTGGACAAGTAAATAAATACAAAGGAAGGTATGAATCATATGTTCAAATATTAATTATATCTATTATCAGCAAAATGACTGTTTGCTATTTGTGGACTTTAGACATCTATCACCATTGTTGTGCATAACATTTGGCCTGCTAGCTCTTGCTGGGCACCCTTGTAAGGGCCGATGCACACCTATGCGACACTCCACCACGCGTCAATGCACGATTGCGCGTGGATTGACCGCATAGGTGTGCACTGATCGCGCTGTGGGTGCCATTATTTTCAAAGTACCTTTTTTCTGCGATACACGACGCGTGGCTGTTAAACCATGCGTTCCGCCCAGTCGCCACTGGGGTGCCATTGGAAAATAATGGCACCCACAGCGAGATCGGTGCACACTTATACGACTCCTGACCGCGTGGCAATCTGCCCGGAATCGAGCATGATTGCCACGGTGGGGTGTCGCATAGGTGTGCACCGGCCCTTAGAGTTAAGGATTCCTTGTATTGTCTCATTCATGGCTGTGTAATTTTGTTTTTCTGTCTGACTGGTGACTATGGAATGTTCTCTTCATAAGGCAACTTATTCATGTCAATACATACACTTTTCTTCTGTTTTAGATAATATATATTTATAATTTTCTTAGCATGCACTAACATCATTATATGTGTAACCAGGGGCGTAACTAGAAATCACAGGGCCCCATAGCAACATTTTGTATGGGGCCAGGTGACTTCTAGTTATGCCCCTTGCGGAGCCCACTTGAGATCCCACCTGAGGGTGACCCTGCAGAACCCACCATAGAATCTCTATGGTGGGCTCTGCAGGGTCACCCTCAGGTGGGCTGGTCACACTCCTTACCTGTCCGCCTCCTCTTCCTGCACGATCGCTGATGGACCCCGCCTCCTTCTCCATCACAGGGCCCCGCCTCCTCCTCTGCTGCCGACTACGGGCCCCGCCTCCTCCACTTCTGGGTCCAGCCTGCTCCACCGCCGCTGCTAGCTCTCACTAACTCTGCAGCGGCTGTGAGAAGAATGCTCTGCTGCACAGATCACTGCCAGTGATCTGAACAGCAGCGCATTCTTCTCACAGCCGACAGTGAAAGCCACCAGCATAAGATGCCATAGCGGCCCGCACAGCATCTAGCCGGGTCCCCCTGTGCCCTGGGTCCCATAGCGGCCGCCTGGGTCGCTATGGCGATTGTTATGCCACTGTGTTAAACCCCTGTACCCCCTTTCACTAAAAATCACATCAGCATGCTGCTCTTCATGCTGATTTAACATCATCTTTGAGGTCTGGTAGGAATTTTAAGGGGGAACCCCAGCCCCCAAAAAATGCAGGGAAAAACGTGGGGTCCCCCTAACAGACCCTTGATCCGAGCACAGGGCCAGGTCTGTGAGCAGAGGTGTCATAATACTTATCATATGACACCTCAGCTCATAGACCCGAATGGCATTCTGACAATGTCAAATGGGCGGAGCGAGCCCTGTGACGTCACAGCTCACTCCGCCCATCTGTTTACTTTCGGGCAGGAGAGGTCATTTTGCGGCGGGTTTTCATTGGGTTCGGACGGTCGTCGTGCAGCAGGGAGGAGGCGGGGTGCTCGATGGTCCCCCTCCCTTTGCTGCTCTGCCGGGCCTGTGCTCAGATCAAGGGTCTAGTAGGAATGTTAGGGGGGCCCCCACATTTCCCCCCATTTTGGGGGGGCTTGGGTTCCCCCTTAAAATTCCTACCAGACCTAAAGTGCCTGGAATGGATTTTGGGGGATCCCCAAGCCCTTTTTTTTTTCTTTTACTTGGAGGGGGTGGGGTTCCTCCTAACATTCCTACCAGACCTAAAGGGTATGAATTGTAAGGGAACCTCACGTTTTTTATTTCCTCAGACTGTAAAAAAAAATAAAAAATCTTTTTTTTCTCTAATGTCACTTTGCTACAACGAAATTTGTCCACAAACGAAAATTCATATACTAACGCTAACCAATTTCCTCCAAATCCGAATCCCGAAACGAATTGATTTTCGGACCCGAATCCCGAAAAACGAAATAACGCAAAATCTGAATGAAAATCTGTATGTTTTTTCAGCAATAATAACACCACCCATAAGCCAGTCTATAGTTTGATTATTTTATATTTAATTACTCCCTCAATATATTGTTATTAATAGATAGAAATCAGTACTAGCCTATACTAGAAATAGGCGAGCTGAACAGACAACGGAAACTCTCAATTGCACTTTCTGCTGCAGCAGCCACAGTCCACCGCTAGGTGTCGCCAGAAAGCACTGTGTAGTATGTTGTCACTCTTGCCGGCCGGTGCTCGTCTCGTTGCTCCGCTTTAGGCCGGGCTGTGGTGTAGCTCTGTGTTTGTTGTCCTGAGGCAAGTCTGTGCGCCGCCGGGGGATGGCGGAGGCCGGGGTGTCGGCTGCTGAGTTGGTGGCTGAAACGAGGAGAAGTGGTGGTGGGGAGGCCGAGCTCCGAAGCCCCGGGTGGAATGAGTCTCAGTTACGTTCCTACCAGTTTCAGACCCGACCGATCCCGCGTCTACAGCACTCTGATCCCAGAGCGGAAGAGCTCATCGATAATGAGGTGAGGTCCCCCTGTCATGAGGAGCTCCTCTCATTTGGTAGGTGCCAGTAGGAGGTCACGTAGTACATGGGGGGGTCCAGGTCACTTGGAGGCCAGTGTGTCATGGCAGTGACCGAATTAGATGTCGGTGTGGGTTACCAGGTGGTCAGAGCAGGGCAAGTCACCATGTTGTTGGAGTGGGCTAGCTGACTTACCAAGTGATTTGAGCAGGGTTGGTGGGCCAACAAGTGTTTAAAGCAGGTGGTTGAAGCGGGGCAGTCGGTTTATGCAGGGCAGGCTAGTAACCAGGGGGTTTGTATGGGGCACGTGGGTCTCCTGGTGGTTTGAGTGGGGGAGAATTTGCATCTGAGGCCCCGTTCCCACTGCGGCTTGCATTGAGCAAGCTTGAATCGCGGCTAAATCCGCTCCAAAAAGGGTCCTGCTGTAGCGACACACGACCCGCGACAGCAGGACCCTTTGCCCCATTGGATTGCATTGGAGCGCGATATCGCGCAGTAATTTGCCGCGATATCGCGGGAATTACGGCGCGATAAATCGCTCAATGTGAACGGGGTCTTAAGGACACATTGCAGGTCCTCTATGTTATTTTATTAGTAGCCTTTAGTACACTGTTTGTACCGGCACATGAATACATGGCTATAGTCTCTGTTGTGATGCACTGTATGGTTGAAATGCACTAAATGCATCTGCAGTCAAATGGAGATCCTCCATTTATAGTAGTAGTGTATTCATCCATCAACTCCCTACCATCAAGGAGGAGATCTGTAAATCATAAGAAGAGCAACAGAAGAAGGAAGAACATTGCAAGGGATGAAAAAGTCAGGATACTCAGCTTGGGCTTTTGGAGGGAGAGGCCACTGATCCTATGGCCTAGATGTCGTAGGAGTCAGGATGGCTTCACCATTTAACAAGGGATCAGGCAGAGACAGACCTGCACTTTGTAGATAACAGATCTGTGAATGTGTGCAGCTATAGCCCATACGTTCTCAGAGTGTGAGAGTGGTATGTTATGCAGCTTGCAAACCACAAAACATCCACCAACACACTACTCTCCTTGCAAAGTCTGATAGAGTTCCTCTCTTTGCAGCTACAATGGCATTTGAAATTGCTGTGTGAAGTGACAGAAATGTATAAACACTATGTACATATACCCTCTGCAGCAGGAAATCGCATTCTTTGTTTATGCTGCTGCTGAAGTTGTGTGACATTGTCAGAAATATTTACAACAAAGTATGCCTACACCCGGCATTTTTACAGTATTTGGTGGCAGCAGAACTACCAGGCTATGGAATATTTTCGCTTTTAGCTCTGGATGTTTTCTCTGGCCTTGAGTTAATAGCAATTTTTAAGTTAAACCTCATCCAATGCTTGCTTCCCTTTTTTTGTTGCTTTAAATGCAATAATTTGTGGAGGGCAAGTTTTTGGTCTTTCTAGTATTCATTTTGTGGTTTTTAGTAGCCCCCAGTAGTAGTGGTTTGATTTGGTTTTAGACTTTATTTAAAAAAACAAAAGTCACTTGGCACCAAGGATTGGCCAATTGTTTGCTTTGGACTAGCTGAGCATTCTAGATAATTGCAGTAGGGCAACATTTAAACTGTTTGGTGTCTTTGAAGTAACATGCTTGACTCTGTTTAGTCTTTTTCACAAACCAAAACATTGCTCAGCAATGTATTTCCCCGTTTATTAATCACCACCTAGATAATTTCCCAGATACAGCAGGCTTGTCACTTGTAAATGTGTAACAAGCCAATCCTGTGATGACACTTCCAGTACTAATGTGAACCTGAGCAGAGAGATTACACGTCTAGTCTGCGGCAAGTTTGTAGGGCAGACTTATCTGATAACGTGCATTCTTGAGTCCTAGTTAATGAACCACTACTTTTGTATCATTCCCTCTCCCTCCCTCCAGTGTGCATTTTTTTTGAAGTCCTGAAAGCAAATAGCTGCTGCTGTGCTTTACCTTTACCATTTAATTTGGCATGAAACCTATTACTTTTGTACTCCTGATATTTAACATTCATTTGTAAAATAGTTTTACATAAATCAAAAATATAAAACGTTAGTTTTAAAACTCGTGAAGTTAAAAATAAATAAATGGATCCACAAGCTTTATAATTTCCTTTTTAAAATGCCAAGAACTTTGGACTGGTGTTACTTGTGACTTTCTTTGAACAGAATAGCAAATGTGAGGTGCAGGTAAAATATTACCTCTTCATGTACACTATGTTGCCAAAATTATTGGGACGCCTGTCTTTACACGCACATGAACTTTAATGGCATCCCAGTCTTAGTCCGTAGGGTTAAACATTGAGTTGGCCCACCCTTTGCCGCTATAGCAGCTTCAACTCTTCTGGGAAGGCGTCCACAAGGTTTAGCAGTGTGTCTATGGGAATGTTTGACCATTCTTCCAGAAGTGCATTTGTGAGGTCAAATTGTCGTTTTGAAGCATGAAATTGTCCAAAATGTCTTTGTATGCTGATGCCTTAAGAGTTCCCTTCACTTGAACTAAGGGGCCAGGCCCAACCCCCGAAAAACAACCCCACACCATAATCTCCCCTCCACCAAACTTTACACTTGGTACAATGCAGTCAGGCAAGTAACATTCTTCTGGCAACCGCCAAACCCAGACACATCCATCGGATTGCCAGACAGAGAAGCGTGATTCGTCACTCCAGAGAACATGTCTCCACAGCGGCGTGCTTTACACCACTGCATCTGACGCTTTGCATTGCACTTGGTGATATAAGGCTTAGATGCAGCTGCTCGGCCATGGAAACCCATTCCATGAAGCTCTCTGCGCACTGTTGTTGTGCCAGTCTTAAAGCCACACGAAGTTTGGAGGTCTGTAGCTATTGACTCTGCAGATTGTTGGTGACTTCTGCGCACTTCAGCATGCGCTGACCCCACTCTGTCATTTTTCGTGGCTGAGTTGCTGTTCCCAGTTGCTTCTACTTTGTTATAATACCACTAACAGGTGACCGTGGAATATTTAGTAGCAAGAAAATTTCACAGATAGGTTGCCACCTGTGCAATAAGTCTATCACGTTACCACGTTTAAATTCACTGAGCTCCTGAGAGCGACCCATTATTTCACAAATGTTTGTAGAAGCAGCCTGCATGGCTAGGTGCTTGATTTTATACACCTGTGGCCATCGAGGTGATTGGAACACCTGAATCCAATGATTTGGAGGGGTGTCCCAATACTTTTGGCATAGTAGTGTATATTAAGACCATCAGCTTATAGTAGAACTGTAAATGCCAGGTCCGTATGGCATACTGACCTGGCCAGCTGGAAGCACTTTTGTAGGTCCGTATGCCATACGTCCTTGGCAGCGAAAGGGTTACGAGAGATTGTGTTTTCTATCCAGCTGTAGGGTCGTGTGATGTAATGTACATGGATATTTGTCTAAGTGGTTCTCTGATGTGCTCTCCTAATGAACGGCAGAGCCTGCAAAAAATATACAGCATCAAAATTGTGCTTCCCTGATGTCTACATTTTGAGATGTACAAGCATCTTTGATTCATTGGTCATGCTGAACGTCCTCTATACATCTTTGCTTGTTGGCTCACATTCTTGTTTTCATTGTGACTGAAACTATTATAGCATACTTTTCTTCTTGGTGTAGAAATGCCGAATCTTGTCATTTTAGACTTGTTGATAACACCTCAGAGTCGCCCAACATAACGCTTTCCTTTTCTTGTTCTAAAATAGGAACCTGTAGTTCTGACTGATACAAATCTGGTTCATCCAGCTCTGAAGTGGGACTTGGACTTTCTGAAGGAAAACATTGGCACTGGGGACTTTTCTGTGTACAGTGCCAACAGCCACAAGTTTCTTTATTATGACGAGAAGAAAATGGTTAACTTTAAGAACTTCAAACCCAAGTCCGTTAGGCAAGAAATGAAGTTCCCGGAGTTTGTAGAGAAGCTCAGAGATATAGAACAGAGAGGTGGTGATGAGAGGTAAGATAAGCTGATTTTTTTAAGATGTCTTATAAGATGTCTTGTCCCATAACTGTACAGGGGTGTGGAAATTTTTGAAAAAAATACTTGTCCAAGGACTAAAGCGGGGGCCGAATCTACTTGTCCCTCATGACAATCGACTTGTCCTGATACAAATTTTTTTTTAACCAAAACCGTATTTAGCAGTGCTAAGAAGCACTTCTCATTGGTCAGTGCCGTCAGGTGACTACGTTGACCAACGAGTGCTTGAATTTTGCGAGCGAATTCAGAATACATGTGACAGGTACAGATAGTACACCCGTACTGGTGGACGAGAAGGACCATTCGTGGAAAGGTAAGTATAGTGGGAGGGAGATTTGTGCGGGTAATTCAATTTTCCCAAATTACTTGGGAAAGTGAATTTACCCTTTAGGGTGGGTGCAGACTTGGGGATTCCCAGGACGTGCGATCGTGTGCGGTTGCATCCGCATGTTTGGGGTTACATCTGCGTAGCAATCGCTGAAAAAAAGGTAGATGTACCTATTTTTACGACATGCACCGCGCAGTGTTTTCAACCGTGATCATGTGGGATTGCCCATGCGATATTGCAGCAGGAAAACGCGCAATCTGCCTGGCACGACTGGGGTGTCATTAGAAAATAATAACACTGACAGCACGATCGGCAGTGGTGTGCGATTCCGTGACCACCCAGCCATCCGCTCGGTTTCATGCATCGCGCTGGCAGTGCCATTATTTTCTAATGAATTCCGTCCCCGCTCCGTCCCCAGTTCTCAGCCCTCTGTCCCCGCTCCGTCCACACCCCCCGCTCTCAGCGCTCCATGCCCCCCGCCTGCAGCGCCGCTCATTTAAGAAAAAAAACCAGCCCCGCTACTTGTCCGTAGCAGGGCTAAAATAGTGACAAAACAACTTGCCCGGCGCCCGGAACTACATGTCCCGGGCGTCGGGCGATACGAATTCCACACCCCTGCTGCAATGTCTGTCTTGCCACTAAGGGCCCATTCACACCATGTCCGGATCAGATGCAGTATGTTAAATTTGTCTTCCGCACCAAAAATGCATCCCAATGCATTTGTATGTGATTTTTGGGCTCTGTTCACACCGGTCCTGTCCGTTGCAGTGCAAGAAAAAATGCTGCATGTCACATTTTTCCTGCACTGGAACGCGTCACAAACGCATTGCGTTTGCAGAAATGTGTGCAGATCTGGTCTAGACATGGTGTGACAGGGCCCTAAAGCCAAGTGTAAATGTTAGATTTTTCACAATTGGGTTTTCTTTAACAAGAAAGAGACTTGTAGCTGAAGGAATGTTTAATGACAGGACTGTAGTTGGCTTTCCTGCTAGTTGTGAAGGATATTGCATTGTGTTTTTGGTTGATCTTTGCAATATCCATATTCTTGTGTTGAGCACCAGCAAAAGCAGAGACACCGGCACTCCAGGGTGAAAAACAAGTATTGCAACAAACGTTTCGGGGTCGCACAGGATCCCCCTTCCTCAGGCAAAAGCATGACAAAATACCAAACTTTCCTATAGGTAACGTGGTGCGGAAATAAAATAATGTACTTTTTTCAGGTGGAGGCACCACTCACATGCCAAGGGTCTGAAATAAAAGTCTAATGTTTCAAGCCTTTTACAGAAGAGAAGGTGTGCCTCTAGGTTCCTTAACCAGTTGACATCCGCGGTGTTTAACCCCCTTCCCATCCAGGCCATTTTTCAGTATTCAGCGCTGCGGTAACGGCCGCGGGGGTGGGAGGTGTGACGCGAACGAGCACATATAGACGATCGGCGGGCTATGGAGCCGCTAATCGCCTATATGTGAAACACCCGGTAACGGGTGTGTGCAATATTCGGGTTTTTTCTGCCCGTGCGTGCCCGCTAGGGGGTGCGTGCGAGCAGAAAAAAATTGCCGTCTGGAGACGGCAACCCGCAAATGCTGCAGTGCCGTCCGTCCGTTTTTTTACTACGGACGGACGGCAAGTGGTTAAAATTACCTGCTGTGTTGGTCTAATTGGCTTCCAAGATCTGATTTAGGTATAACTGAGCCAAAACTGTCTTGTCAGGACATTTACCTGTTCTTTCGTTCCAAGAGAATAAATGAAATCTCTCCAAAGTGAGGGGAAATCTTCCGGAACAGGAGTCCTCATTGAAAAAATGTTCCTCTATTCCTAAAACTATTAGGCTGTACACCCGGCTTTAGGTACATTTGTTAGTTTCTATCGCAAACTAGAAGCCAGCATGCAACTCCCGGTGTGTCCACAGGCTGGCTCAGTGTCTTCTTACAGAGAACTAGGGCTTTATACAGATTGTCTGTGATGGCCTTGCAATCTGAGCTCCAGTGGCTTTTTTTTTTTGAATCGGACTTCACTCCCCTCAAGCATCACTAAGCCTTGTCCATCTATGACCCTGTCACTGGTTCACTGGTTTTCCTTCCTTGAACCACTTCTGGGAGCTGCAGTTTTGGAGTTGCTCTGGCCCAGTTGTCTAGCCATTACAATTTGGCATTGGTCAAAGAGACTCAAATCCTTATGCTTTGCCACATCTTTTCTGCTTCTAACACGCAAACCTTAGGGACAAAATATTCACGTGTTGCTTAATATATCCCACCCACTTCCAGGTGCCATTGTAACAAGGTAATCAATGTTATTCACTTCACCTCTCAGTGGTCATAATATTGTGATTTTGTTTTTTGTCTTACACAAGGATAAATTGTTAGTTATGCGCATTGTTAGCACTGCGCATGTTTACCTCTCAGCAACTGTCCATTATTCCATTTTCTTTTCCATTTGTAATTGTCCCTGTAAACTAGGGATGCACCGATACTCGTACTCACCCAAATGTTCTGATACTTACCTCCGATACCGGAACATCCAGTCGCAGGGTGATCTCCCTCTGACCGGCAGTGTCGAGGGAGCATGATGCTGGCTTCCTTTCCAATCAGGAAGCTGGGTGGCGGGTTATGACACTCTTCCTGATTGGTCAGGAAGCCAGGCTGCCTAGCAACAAGTGAAGCCAGCTTCCTAGTAAATCAGGAAGTCGAGAGGCAGGTCATAACCAGCTGCCCACGTTCCTCGGGAAGTAAAGCCAGTGTTCTTTCGATAGAATACCGGCTTGCCAGGCAATCAGGAAGCTGGCTGGTGGCGTTTACAGGGTTGCCTACCCTTCAGTTTGTTTTTGATTGTCACATGTGCATCAGAATAACAATCCTCTGTCCCTTTAAAGAAAATGGGAACTTTATACTTACAGGGGTGTGGAAATGTTACAAAACTGCTTGTCCAAGCACTAAAGCTGGGGCCCAAACTACTTGTCCCTCATGACAATCTACTTGTGATACAAAAAAATAATTCTATCCAAAACCGTATCTAACTGTGCTAAGAATTGGTCAGGTGACCGCGCCTGCCCAAGGAGTGGTTACAATTTGCGAGCAATTCAGGGCCGACGACCGTTGGCTGAAAGATAATTATAGCCAGGGTAGGCCAGATTTGAGCGGGTAATTCCATTTTCCCAAATTACTTGGGAAAGTGAACTTGCCCTTTTATGCACATTGTGCACGTTAGTGACCGCTGCTGCCTGGCTACCACAATATGGCACACAGTGGAATGGGGGCAGCACTCAGCGCACACACAATGCCCTTTGCGTGCATTTTTCTTACTTTTTAAAAAAAATAAATTTTTAAATTCATTTTTTTTTTTAACTTTAGCCCTTTGTGATAGCATACAGGGGTGATAGGTTCTCTTTATGGAACCTGCCTTCCAATAAAGGAATTCGAGCACAGTACTGTGCTTGATCTCCTCCCTTTGCAGCTGAGGCATGAAGGCTGCGAGTACAGCATTCCTGTCTTGCTGTTCACAGAGCAGATTGGAGAGCGGACTTTCTCCAGTCTGCTCTGCTCTCCATTCTGAAGAAATTTGCTGTGGTCCCCCAGAAGGGGA